AAACCGCTCCACAGGATCAACACTGACAGAACAAAAATATATGCATACATAACAGCAATAGATCGCCCTCTGCCTGACATTATGATTCATTTCATGTTTCAGAGAGGCACCGGTCCAAACTAAATGCTTTGCAGTGGAAGCCAAAAAACACATTGCCTGAACTGACAGGCTTAGAACAGCTCAGTGGTGATATTTATAACACAGTGGTAAATACACTCATACATTTGAGCACTCTATTATACCTGGGAAAGTGGTTGACCTTCTGGAAGTCTTGAAGGCTGCGTAGTATGTAAGGCTTGAGGTGAGATCCTGTCCACATGAGGTTGAAGTCATTACTATTTGGGTGAACCTGAAAAACAGACAGAATGATTGACGTGCTGGATCAAATAATTTAGATTTAGAACACACAGAGGGAATAACCGTCGCAAAGGGATCATTAAATAAAGCGTAAAACCAAGTATAGCCATTGCTGTTCATACTGAATACGCTCTGTAGAGTTTCCAGTCACCAACAGCAGTATTATATTCTGATGTCCATCACATATGACAGCTCGGTTAAATTAAATCTAAGAAGCAGATCAGTCTCTCTACCAATAACCTGGAGAAATACAGCCAGTTCTTTAGAAATTATCTTAAAATGAAGACCAACTCGCAGATTTTCATCACCCTCGCATTATTTTATCTGTTTTGTTTTGTTTTATTCCAACAGTTCGTTAGGAGGCAGAATTCACATGGCCGCTCGGTGTCTAGGGGAGAGCCAGATGTTTGTAATAAAGGCTTATTAAAGTTTGGCTCCGTCGCAGCTGTGGTAGACACTCGTCTGCCTTTGATGATGGGTTAGCGGGAGTCAAGAAGCATTGAAATGAAATAAAAAGGGAATTAATTGTAACTGCTTGGAAAGAGCAATAATGGGGATTGTGTGCCCTCGTGAAACAGGATTAATGCTCTCTTTAGGTCATTTAGTTTTTTTTTTCCATGGGTGCATTCCCGGGCTTTGACATCGGCATTATCGGTCAAAGGAAAAAAACAAAAAAACAGCTCTACTATCCCTCATCCTACACAGCAGAGAGGTATTTAAATAGCATGTGCAGCTAAAAAACAATGTGGTTTTTTTTTTTTTTACAAGATTTAGTCTAATCTTTTAAATTTGCACAATTTACTGGAGAATATTACCTCATGGAATCCATGATTGGTGAGTAGTCCTCGTACCAGACGGCTTTCTGTGCGGACGATCTTGAAGGCCATACGATATCGCTCTAAGCAAATTAAACACGAGACAACAACATATCCTTAGATTCCAAATTATTAAAAGGCTCTAATCATATTATCTGTACTCTTTTCATAGCTATTTTTAGCTTCGACAAATTGTAATTTACCTCCAATAGAGCAGATATTGCCATCTTTTGAAACAGCAGCTTCAGGGAAAAACAAGAGAACTGGGATGCTCTTGCTAAGGCCACTCCAGGCAATGCAGGGATGGTCTCTGATGGACAAACAATTAGATGATTCACAGTCACAGCCAAGGGAAGAACAGTCAAAATTCAAGGTAAACTTACAAGTAACAATATAAGATGCACTCTGGGGTGAAAATCTTTGGTGTTCACTCCCTGGATGATGTGATCTAGTCTATATGTGTAGTTTACCTAATGCAGAGGGAATGTATCCTGACATGGTGTTTGTTTTAGTCAGGCCAATAGAGACGGAGCCACACACAGTTTCAGGAGTTGCTGGGCAATAACAAACCCATGTACTGTCCTAACAAACATACTTGTAAAACTGCAGGCTGTCTGATAGTACCAGACACAGTGTGCTTATCGGGGGGCTAAAAATAAGATTAGGTAGCATGAAGATGGAGTAGAACTCAATCAGGCATGAACGGTCTTGATAAGGGGGAGAGGCATGTAAACAACTGGTGCCCCTGGTATCCAGGTCTGTCAGACAATATGGCAGATATCTTTTCCACTGTGGTGGTTGAATGTCGCTAAAAAGGTATTTTGATAGTATTTATCTGTTGTTTATTTTGAACATAAACCACCATCAAAAATACTGAGATACTATACACACAGAAGATGTGTGTACTTCTTGTGTACAGTCAGAATTGATGGAGAAAACCACAGCTAGGCACTGCATGATCATCACTTGCCTCGACTAGACCTCTGAATGTGAGACACTCAACAACATACCATATGGTGCTTTTGCTAGAAACTAAAAAATCTGTTTATTGGACAGACAACAAGGTCAAAATGGTTACCCTGAAGTTTTAAAAATATAATATAAGGGTAATATTATAAAGCGTCTGGCCTTATTTTAATGTTGCTCACCAAATACAATAAAAAAAGCGGAGTTAAAAAAAGGATTAAAGGAATTTTCAAGCCTCTATGCTGCAAAATAACGTTTAGTTTTGTGTGCTGCTGGTTTCCGTACATGCTTTATACTGTACATGTGAAGTACATGTACATACATGTGCTTGTCTTTATGTGTGCTATGTACCTAATGTATATGCCTGTAATACTATACTTTGTTGTCCTTTGCATTATTTAGGCTTGTCGGCATGAACCTTCCCTCACAATAATCAACTAGTCAACTAATATCAACTGTCCCTAATAACTAAACTGATAAAAACAGCATTGGTCACCTGAAGGTTAAACCTTAATACTAAGCAATCCAAACTAATTCAGGACTTGGAAATTAGACTAAAAGCAGGCACAGTGGCTTTTAGTAAGGTATGACTAAGTAAAGCTTAAGAGGGAATTAGTTGGCAGAGACAAGATAACATAGACCAACTGTTGCAGCTATAATCTAGACCTAGATGCACTTCAGTTAAACTCTCATCAGTCGTGCTACATAAAGGCTAGCAGAAGGCTTCATTTTATCTAAATGTACGTTGGCATTAATTATTAAGCAGGGTTTAGGACATCTTAATATAAATCGTAATTATGCATAGATAACATTACACATTCAATAAACTACGGCAGGTTGCAAAGACAAAGACTATGGTATGGACAAAAGAAATGCTTTCACTCAGCATGGTGTCACAGTACTACTCTATTCAGAGGGAAATCTTGTGAAGTGTTCCAAGAGGATCACTAGGCTAAGAACTTAACTTACACTAAAGGAGTGTATTTAAATACTGTGTACTTCAGCCAGGTCCACATTAGCTGCAGGCACTGTGAGCAATACCCAACAGACCCTTAATAGATTCAATTATAACGGCTAGAAAAGCAATGCACACATATCAAAGGACGAGAATGTTTTGAAAGAAAAAAATACTCCTACAAATGTGTACGCGACAAAAAAATGAAACATGGGCATAATGTAGAGCACAAGAATTCTAATGTAGACGTTTGCACAGACCCAGTATTTGAAAGCTAAAATGTGACACTGAGGTGGTTTTGCGTTTGGATGTGTACGACAACAAAAGAGAATTGTTTCAGGATGTTTCCTAATCCAAATAAAGGGTCTGAGGATAGGCTGTGTCCTGTGCTGTACAGACTGTTTGTTAGATTTGCAATATTGGGCTAAATGAAACTCACTTGACTTGACTGCAGGTAACATAAACATCACAACAGAAAAAATAATCAGAGGTAGAACTTCAAGATTAGGAGACTCTGATTATATTAATGCTAGTGAGTGGAGGATGAGGAGTTTTATTCTTAAGCTTTAACAAACCGTGCTGCGGTCACTGTCACTATTATGTGATTCTACATTAGACAGAGTTTTCTGAACAACTGCAAACTCGTAGTACAAATACTTACTCTTGCTCGTCCTCTGAGGAGGATTCAGAGTCCTCCTTACCCTGGATGACAGCTGGCATCTTCACAGTAACAGTAGACGAGCTGCCCGGTGATGTCTTCCTGGGATCAAGTGTCTGGGTTTTACCATGGCACCTTTTACCTCCACCTGCAGAAACATTGCACTCATTGAATGGCTCAGCTCAACTCAAACTAACGCCAAAAACATCACATTAATAACGTTACTGAGGGTTGCTAGCAAAGAATGTCACATTCGTACAGAAACAGTGCTTCGCGTTTAGCACACAGTTAGCTGAGGACAGCTGCTTTGTAGCGCTACTTGTACAGATAATTAACGTTAATTAACGATATCTTATTGTAACAGTAGACATAACAACGACGACAGACAGACAGACAGACAGACAGACAAACAAGGCTGAGCAAAATGCGCCTTCAGGTACTGACATGAGAAGCTAACCAGGTAAAGTCTGCTAAGTTTGACACCGCTTAAGTACACGTTTTATATTGTCAGACAAATACACAGCGACGTCAACTTGCCTTTATGTCTGAGAGCCTGCTAACTGCTAGCTCGCAGTTATCGCCAGGGCCAGTTGATCATCGCGGTTAATCTTCCTGGTAACTACAACAACTGAATAGCAACAGAGAACGGAGCATGCGCACTAACTGAGGATATTTATAGAAGAGTTGTCCGCCTGACCAAATTTTGCACTGCATCCATCCTGTGATGTTGACGTGCGGCGAAACTGTCGGACTAAAAGAGAGAGCATGTCCTCAGTCTGAAATAGTAATTGTTCTCAAATAGCGAATATAGTTTAAGGATAATCCGGAACGTGTGTAATAAATTAAATTACGGTCTATAAGTAATCAATGAACATAACAGTTTAATGCATGACTGAAAAAACTGCTTAGTACCGCTTCATATCATAGACCACAATCTTTTAATACAGGTTTGCTTGACTAAAATAACATCATAATTATATTATAAACTGAAATACTTTAAATGCTTAGCACTCTTTGTACGGAATCGGATCTGACTTAAATATTTTAACCGAAGACTGAAGAAGTCACAGAGTATTCTCTCGCTCCACATGTACTCTTTGTTGGAACGATTGCTTGGTTGCCATTGGTTGACGAAGAAAGTAGGCGGGACCCGAACGCTCGTGTGGGCCAATCATATGAGTGGTACGATTCGATGGAGCCATTTCTTAAGCTCTGTCATTGGTCAAACCCCACAGTGGAAGATTGACAGAGTTACCATTGTGAAACATAACGCCATACTCGTTTGGTCCCACTTTATTGTTTCGTGTCCCGTTCTCTTATGTTTTCTCTCAGGAACATGTCCATTTTGTAGTTTAATAGACGCCACCAGGTAAATATAACCACCATTCATGTTATTATTTTTTTTTTTTTTACCATAATAGGCGTATTAATTTTATTTTAACCAGGTTTCAGCAGCTATAGCCGGTTATGTCACGTTAGTTATTGCTAAATATCACTTGCTAGCTGACCTGTGATGTGTCACTCAGGTAACAGGCAGCAGACATCTGTTATCCTGACACTGGCCCTCAGTTTGATGTGCTGTATCCTGCACTGACTCTTCCTCTCTGACAGGTGCGTCTCACACACAGTAAAGATGAGTCGCTTTCTGAACGTCCTGAGGAGCTGGCTGGTGATGGTGTCCGTCATCGCCATGGGAAACACAGTGCAGAGTTTCAGAGATCACAGCTTTTTGTCAGAGAAGCTATACACAGGCACACCAGAGTTTGGTGAGTGAAATGAAGGTCTTCACAACATGAAATCATGCTGATGCTGTCAAGTGTTCAGGAGTTGGTGATATGATTCTTAAAAAGTTTATAAAGTAGCATTGAATAGAAAAATGTACCTGATGTGTGTATCTCTAATTGTAATGCAGCGGTTAAGACAACATTTAAGCTGTATCTCACACTATTAGGATAACTAATAACTGAAACAGCAACCAAATATAGTCAGATGTGATATCCATTAGGCAAAAGGCAACTGTTTCATATCATATCTAAATCAATCAATAAGTATTAGACCACACTAATGCCAATACCAATATTTGTAAGTTTAAATAAATCTGATAAGGATACTCAATAGTGGCCGATGAGCACACATAACATAAAGATAAGATTACCTTAGAGTCTGTTATTTAAGAAATAAAGATGTATGTATCTTTATATGTATGTTAAAACAACAAAAATGTCAGGACTCTCTGGACAACGTAAAGGTGACACTGCTTCTAAATGACCCCAAAGAAAACATCTTTGACATTTCAGTGTTGCAATTTCTTATTACTTATCAGTTGACATATACATATATATATATATATATGCTGATATATTGTTGGTTTTAAGCTAATATCAGTCTTTAATATCGGCCCAGCTGATTTATCAGTCAGACTCTTGTATGTTGTTATTTCTTCCCATTTTCTTAGTGAACGGTCTCCAGGCTCGAACATTTGGCATTTGGACGTTGCTGTCATCAATCATTCGCTGCTCCTGTGCCATTGATATCCAGAACAGAACGTAAGACAGATTCTCACTTCCTGCATCTTGTTTCTGTTGTCGCATGTTCTTACTCTGTCACACTGACTCCTGCAGGCTGTATCACATCACCTTATGGACATTTGTGTTGGCGTTGGGCCACTTTCTCTCTGAAGCTTTCATCTATAAAACTGCACCCCTGACTATCGGGGTCATGGCACCTCTCATTGTGGCAAGTGAGTGTGGATACATTAATGTATAAATTATATATAAAACATCTTGTAAAGAATCCTAATAGCATCTCCATGTGTTTTTCTAGGTTTCTCCATCATAGGAATGCTGATAGGATTCCAGTGTATTCCAGAGTCACAAGAGGAAGTCGGAGCGCGACAGAAGAAGCGCAACTGAATCCCGACAGTTTGATTTTCCTCCGGTCCGTTAAACTCACCTCCACAGTAACCACCAGATACATCTGTGGACTGGTGAAAGTGTGCTGCTTCTTGCCTTGAAGAACATGAAATCTGGATTTAAATTCATTTCCTACTCTCACTTCCTATAGACTATTTACATTTCAATCTGGGCTGTATTTAATGTTTTTAAACTGATGTTTTACAGTAGACAGTGCAATCAAAAAAGGTTTGACAGAACACTACAGCGATCAATACGCGTCGGTTCGAAAAGATGACACTCATCCATATGTGTCTGGGCCCATAAATAAAGTCTTTTGTTTGTTTTTAAAATCCTTAAATGTTGTTCTTCTTGTTCCTACAGTTGGATGTTTGAGCTTCACTGTGCAGAATGATGTATGAGCACTTTGACACTAGAAGGATGTTTTCACATTCATCTGCTGAAAGTGGAAAGTTTCTCTGTGCTCAAGGAAAATCTGATTTTTTAAGGGGCGGGGCCTAACAGCATGATTTGTGACATCACAAATATTCAACTAAGTCAATTACAAAAACTATACAAGTGTGATGTAGAAACCTGAAGCCATCAGTGCACAAACACTGACAATGGACCTTACAGTGAAGTAGGAGACATCTTGTGTCTGACAGGAAAACTTTGCACATTCATAGAATTGGAATTTATAATGAGTAGATGCCTTTTTAAGGATTCTAATGTGGAAATTATACTTTTTTTTTCCATAAAACACATCAGACACACATTATTGTTCTAAGCAGACTATTTGTAAATGTCGGGAAACATGTCTGGAGGGGATCATTAACTTTAGAAATTGTGGTTCTGACTGTGGTGTCACTGAGTGAAAGGATTACAGAAATAATCCAGTGGGGATTTTTTTTCAGGATGTTTTATTTCACCAGATTTCCACTTTTTTGATTCAATATTTACCAAAGAACCCAAATGACTATTAATATAAAACTATGCTCTATGTTACAAAGTATCACCGACAGTTATAACAGCAATTACTCTTGATGTTTGTTCTGTGCTGTGAATAGTTTGTACACCCTTTGAATTTATGCACAATTATTGTCCTGTAAAACTTTTATGAAATAGATTTTTGATGTTTTCCAAGAAAGTAACAAGTGAATGATGTGTATTTATTAACTACAAATGAGTATGAGACATGTTTCCAAGAGTATACTTTGTTCATGATTTTTGACAAATATTTAATATAATGTGCTGAGAGGAAGTGGATAAAGGATTTTTAATTAGTTATTTTCTGCTAATTCTGTCTTTTTAGCCTTTTCTGGTTCAGGATGGATACACACAGATACATACAGTGAAACTTTTTTCTTGAGGTTATCCAATTAGATAGAGAACAAAACAAATTCTATTGAATCCTCCCATTTATGTTTTTAATGTACTGATTTGTATTTTCAGTGACCCTAGCATTATAGGGAACATTACACCTTGTATCCAGTCTAGAGTCTATAGAATACAAAATGGGGTGTGGAAACTGTTTCACAGCACTGTTACTGTATGTCATAATAATGCCACTGAAAGATTTAACAAGCACCTCTCAAAATCACATAATCCTTATATAAAAAAAAGGATGATGAACAACTAGCCACAACAGTAAAACGTGTAAATGACAAACTGTACAAACACTGGTTACACAGCATGGACTACATTTCTCAGTATTACACATAAAAACATTTTCTTGTGCAAAATGATAATCACAGCCATCGATTTGACTCCTCTCGTATGTTGATCCAGTTATTTAACACTAAATGTCTTGTAGAGATCACTTACAGTAAAATAAGGACAAAACTGACCTTCCAAAGTGTACTCAGATGCATAGCATCAATCATATTTGTAATCAGCAGTATTCAGACGTAACACTTCCATGTGATCCTGAATGGCAGGCAGAGATAATATGAAACTGTGACTGCCATGTCAGGAAAACAAGTCACAGTCTGCTTATTCTAAAAAAAAAAGAGAACCCTTAAAATGAATTACCTTCAGCAATGTAAATACTTTTTCAGTTACTGTACAATGTTGGTCCAATATTAGGAAACACTCACAGTTTAAATATTGCTCATCAGATGCATAAAACACATGAACACTAATCACAGGAGGACGGTAAAGGCTCTGAAAACAATTCAGTTGAATTCAGTTGAGGAGTGTAGTAAAATGGCAGTTAAATTGCACTGACAAGACATATAAAATGCCTATATTGAATAAAATTCATGTTTTTGTCTCCAGATGGAAAAAACATTTAGGTTCCATGTGCGTTTCCCTTGTGCATGATTGACTTGTGCTTGCTTTGGGATGAGCTAAGTTGCACTTGGGAATATCAGTGTGAATTTCCGGTGTTCAGGCCAGAGTATGGTGTCCGTACAGTTCAAATATACAGCCGGTCTGCTGGTGCTTACCGCAATAATAAAGGCTTACAGAGGGCAGCTCAGTGTGATTCAGTCTCCATGTAATCACTCTTCACAGCAACTTTTTCCATCGTGGCCACGTGTGCATGTTTATGATTGTTGGTGTGCGAGTATTTCTTTCTGTCCTCCTTAAAACTTCCTCTCTTTCAGGCTTTCACTTGGAGGGACAGTTCCTTCCAGATCAGCTGTCATTTTCTGTTAAGGACGAGAACAGAAAAACAATTACAGTCATATTGTCCAACAAATGAGTGAAAGTGGAAGTTTGTTGAATGAAACTACTCTCAACTCATCACAGTGTGTGTGTGTGTGTGTGTGTGTGAGTGTGTGAGTGTGTGAGTGTGGTATAGTATCACTGGTGTATGTGCCCCTACCTTAACAGGTGTGCGTTTTGGTTTTATTGAGCTTGTGGGTTTATGTCAAGACTGCCGTTGCCAGGTGGCGACGCACGCTGTGGCCCCATAGTCCTGCGTCGATGACACGGAGTCTGTAGGCTGGAATGATAGCTTGGGTGTCACCCAGAGGGGCAACCTTATCCTCTGATATCTCCTCCATACCACACCACCACCACCATACTGCCCCCCACCAAACCTGCACACCCAACTAACACTGCTGCCTACTGCCTGTGCTTTAACCCAGTGACCACACTTACACCGCCTTTAGTGAGGAGAATAAGGTGTGTAGTTCAAAGTCATCTTGCAGTAAATCATGCTAATTATAATGTAACTTTGATAAGTTTTAGTATAAGATTGTTTGGTACTTATTTAGATTTATCTTAAATTTATTAAAACAATTAATATCTTATTCACCTATTATAGCTCATTTCCAACTTTTGTGCCCGTATAGTTAGTTATCTCACTGCTGGGCTCCCCATTTCTAACAATTTAACAGAACTGGCTCATGTTTTATTGGCTCAATAAAACAAGGAAAGTGGTGGTCTGTTCAATGAATCTCATTTAAGTTCTGTTAGTGTGCAGGATTGCTGGCGCTTTCCATTTTAGCTCCATTTGTATTGTTAGAATTTGAATATTATGAACAGAGAGAGGACGAGAAAAGACAGCAAAAGAGGTCCCAAGCTCATCTTAAACGAGGCAACGAGTGAGCAGCAGAAAACACGCAATATGAAGTAAGAATTTGTTCCAAATGGCATCGTTTGTTAAAAATCCAAAGGTGATTCTGAGCAGCTGGAGGCCACTGAGTTTGTTTTCTGTTTTATTAAAGTTTGATATGATGCATACAATGGACCAAAACCATGCTTTTGTTTTTGGTTTTTTTTTAGATTGAAAAATAAATAAATGAAAAACTGTTTTTATTGATTAGTAATGGACTGTGGTGATTACCGATATGTTTGACAGCTGTCAACTGCACACACGAGTGTAACAAAGCACGTCTTTGTTAAAGTTAAAACAAAATTATGATTTTATAGCAACAGATAGTAAACATGCTGTTAGAGCAAGTTGAAGAGCTGTCAGACAAAGCAGAATTGTGCTTTCTTCAAGCAGTATTTGAGAGTAGAGTTTGTTTTTAGTGAGCTTAGAGAGAAAGTTAAGTTTCCACCAGTGCAGCAGTGCAACCCCCGCATTCACCTGCGTGCATGCCTGCAGCAGGGAAAGGACGGTGCATTCAGCCAAGAGTCAGGGTGGCATCTAACACATTCCTTCTCTAAAGGGATATGAAGATCCCACCCCTGACTTCATGTAGCACACACAGATGTACTTACACTCACTGTCTGCACCTCAGCCTGTAGGTTGGCCTTCTGTCGTCGAAGGTCAGACTTGATGAATCCTGTGATAAACGTGGCGGAGAGAGAAAAGTTCAGCGATAGAAGGTCATGGTCGTGGTGGACTTTTGGTTTTAGTTTAGAGCAGAATGCTTTATTATGTTGGCGAGAAAAACAGCGAAATGTAAAGAATGTGTTTATTTAGTAATCAACTTAAAATCAGTGGTGGCTCTCTTCTGTAATTCAATGTACTTCGGGTTGAAAAAGAAAAACTGGGACAATACAGAAGGCTATTCAGAGCAGGTGTCTGAACCGTACTTACCCCTCTGTATGTCAGAGTTTAATGCTGATGTCCCTTATATGGTGATTTGCAGGTTTTATGTCAAAGAATAACTATTATAGATATTTTAGTTGTAATAGGTTTTAATATGCATATATGTGGCATTAGGTACGTTATGGGAAAATAGCATATCTTTTTGGATTAATAAACAGGTTTTTAATACAAAAAATATGATAAAAGAAGTCTTCACTGTCACTGGATTATGCCATAAACAAATAGTGTTTCTTCATTCAGTCACTAGGGGGCAACGTTATCCTGTGAAAGATATTACTGTGTGTGCATAACTTCAGGATTGTAAACACAATGCACAATTTAAAGAGTCACCTCTTAAACACACTATCTGTTAAAGTTCCCTGTAGTATCACGTGCATGCCTGTCCACAGCTGCTGACATGAGTTCAAAGGTCAATGTTGTTTTGAAAGCTGTTCGGTCTTGTGAGAGGAGAGGTTAATAACTTACCTGTCATTACCGTTCCTATTAGCAGGAAGATACACAGGAAGATGTTTCCCGCTAAAGTGCCCCATTTGTCAATAATCTTCCCTTGGGAGATGGTGAAAATGATTCCAAAGATCTGAAATGAGATTGAAAATAATATGATTCTATCTTATATGTTTAGCCTGTGTCTTTCCAGGTGACAGTGCTAACATTTACTGACCTGAGCTGAACAGTTAAGCAGCCCGGATGATGTTCCCTCTGATTCTGGATAGGTGAGCTCTACTGCAAACTCAAAGCCCAGAGGTAGATATCCAGTCATGAAGAAGCTGCAGACAGACACAGAAGGTCAAATAACAACCAGGAATAGGAATATAGCTCCACAACTGTAAAAGTAGGGCAAGAGTAAATTACTGTATAATGCATCCTGTCTGGGTTTCAAGAATGAAAACCAGACAAAGGAATCGCTATGGAAACAAGCTATGGGCATAATCAGCTTACCATAAATAGTAATAATTGTAAGGAAAAAGCACGTGGACCGGGGAGTCGGAGGAGTGTTAATTTTGCTTTGAGAAAGCAGCACTAATGCCAGAGAGAAATGCAAAGACACATGAACAACCTACAGCTTCACCACAATGTTTTAAGGGCTTATTAGCAAAAACCCAAGACCTGTAGACATCAAATAAGACTGACACGGTTCGTCATAATCTCAGAGTTAAAATTCAGGGACATGTCAGAATAAATCTTCTTTTTAGACCTGAACCCCACAAAATGAAAACTGTAACTTACCATGACTTCTACTTTAGACTGACCAGATATTATTAGGTTCATAGCTTAAATGTCTATCTCAGGGTTTCCAGTCTCAGTCCCAGTTACATTAATGGCTTCACGATAATATTTGGTCAGATTTATGGAGTCAACATTGGTCATGTTTTGGGATTGTTCATCTTGTCAGTTCAAAAGATCCTGGTATGAATGGATAATTATATTGTGGGGGTTTTCTTGACGATAACGGAGAAGTCTAGAGATAGAGATGTTGTATAGTTATGAGGTGGCATAACAAATCTCATTTCAAGCCTTGCAGGAGCTGTGTTTGTTACTCCTCATGCAGAAATAAATGACACCCCTTGTAACTAAACATTTCCCAAGTTTGCAATAGTGCACAGAGATTTAAGGTTTTTTTTAATGGCAAAAACACTGAAATAAAAGTATGAGAAACTGAAACCATTTCCACATATTTATTGGTCACAGAATAAAATAAATAATATTCAGGGCTATTGCATGTTGGCTAGTGTTACCTGCCACAATTAAGGAGGGTATTACTAATTTTAAGCCTTGGCTGTAATGTTTATGCCCTCTGTGGCCTTTAATTTGAGATGGTTACCTACCCTAAAACTCCAGCGGTGAGAAACACCACCCACAGGTGACCCAGGTTGAGGGTGAAGGAGTAGACCAGCATCCCAATCAGAGAGAGGAGATATACGGCAAGGGTGGTTTGTCTGAGGACACAGGAGACGAATATTAATCATATAGTTTAGAAAGCATTGACAATACAATCAAACATCATAGGCATTTACACACAGCACACCCTTTCTAAAAGACTATTATAACTCCAAACCATCTTAGAAATCCAATTTAATCTGATTTGACTTTTACATTAATGTTTAAGGATCTGAATCTTGTGACAAGGGTCACGTTTGCTACATCATTTAACAAAAAGGTTTTGTTTAAACTTGCAAAAGCCACTTGGCTACTAAAGATTTGCTGATATTCCTCCAACTCTTTTATAAATTCTGGTAATTCTTTACTTAAAAATATCTTTCTGAGCAAAGACAACATGCTCATATTATGCACGCTGTCTCAATATACTGTAAATCTTAAGTTACATTTGAAAGAAGTGTCAACTGTTGGGGCAGCAACACATTTATTAGAATTAAGTCTGCAAGAAAATCCTTACAAGAAGCAAAACTCATCTGTGCAAGCAACAGGATTAAACCTGTCTTAACAAGTCAGTAGCTCTTCTCCTCCACATTTAAGATACATCATTTCATGTCCCTGTATTAAATTTGTATGATGCATATAATGACACACCCAACCAGGACTAAGGCTTTCAAATACCCTCTGTTTCTACCACTGCAAGAGATGAAAAAGTATTTTAATCTTAGGGAGTAATACTTCTCATTTTCAAAAAACATTTTGTGTCACAGCAGACATCTTTTTCCAGATGGATGTCTCATTTGAAATGAAATTCCTCACTTGATTCCTCAGCATAAACAATATCCCTGAGTCACTGAAGAACTCTTGTCATAGCCCAGGCCATCTGCACAAACAGGCTTACTTTGGGGAAGCGGTCTCTCGTACAACCATGCGTAAAATACTGCTGCAAAACATTTTTGTTAATATAACGTAGTCCTCTGACTCTCTCCCACATGGGACAATAGGAGTATGAGGGTCAACAACATAAATCTGAGCCTGACTGCTTTGATAGCAAAGCATCCTAATGGCATGTAAGGAATCTGAGGACAGGGGAGTTTTTCCAGTCATAATAGTTTGCATGCCAGATCACTAAAGGCACCATACCAAACATTTAACACTAAGAAAACTGTTGAAAATAACTGGATATTTTTGAAAAGTATTGAAATGCAAGATTAAGACAAAAAATAACATCATCAAAAATTAAACAGCAATTGGATATCTTCACTTTTAAGATTGAATTATTAGTATTTTTCATGTTTAATGTACTGACACAAGGCCTGAGATGTGAGCTGGGAGCACCAGAAGAGTATAGCCTGTCAGTTCAGATAAGCAGAGAGGGACATCAGATACAAAACTCGGTTCCGCTGGATTCTCATTCTTGCCCACTTTGAACAAAAGCTTTTAATTCATTTGGACATCTCCCTGTGAATGGATGGTTTAATAGATATTCATGTCAAGAGCCCTTGTTTTAAGGCACAGCTAACACTGCAGCCAACAAACGTGGCTGTTGACCCTTAAGACTGAAAATTACGTCAGAGCGTTTTCTTTGAGGTCGCGGTGAGTTTTTGGTAGCACAGATTCACTTGAAGCACTAAAATCAGATTTTGTTTAAATACTGGCAGAAAAGTTGGATGGATGGAAATGTTGGTGTGACGGCCTAACACTGACTGAAACTACTAATGGATAGATTGAAATATTCCAGAGGATGAACTGACTTGGGCTGACTTTACCTCTAGCGCCACCATGAGGTTGACATTTGTGTTTTTGAACTATTATGTGGATTTTTATGAAATTTGGACATGTGCATGTTCCTCACAAGATCAAAAGGACAAGATTAGAATTTGTCCAACACTCAGCTGGTTCGTCTGGTTCCCAGGCTAGTTTATGACCAAACACCTGCAAAACTAATGACATAGCAACTAAGATGATGAAGACATTGAACAATACATCTGCTGAACATTAGCATGTTAGCATTGTCATTGTGAGAATGTTAGCATGCTGACATGAGGCATTTAGTGCCTCAAAAAGCTGCTAATATGGGCCGTAGACTCTTTAGAACAACCCACTCCATTGCGTTGAGTCATCATTGATTTCCTAATATGATCTTTAACATGTTGAAAATTGTAGACTGATCTGATCAAAGGAAATAAAAACAACCAATTTGAAGGCAGATGAAGGTCAACAGACTTATTTTTAGAAAACTTTATCCTGACGTCAGCAGGTGGAAGAAAAACTCCTGGGAGTTTTGATTTCTTCTTATTGCCTGGAAGCATTACTTTAGCTCTGTTTGGCATAATTGATGTCTTACTTGTAGGTTTTGGTCTTGTCCAGCCAAATGCCACATATGAGGGACCCCACCATGCCAGCAATGACTATAGTCAGACCAATTCTCCCAGCATTCACCTCCTCACCCTGCAGAAAGGAAAAACAGAGTTTTTTCTGGTTTTACAGACCACATAAGACACCCGTGACATTTTGCATCCTGCAGTTATCTTGTCCTGGAAGCTCTGGGCCATAACAATCCCAGACCACAGTTATCTGTGTCAGGGTCATCTCCTTGGCAGCTACTACACAAATATCTACATGGTGGGCCTTTTGATACTGAGTATATGGCAGGAGAAAATGGCAGAGTCATATTCCCTGTAGGTGTAAAAACCTTCTTGGTAATAAACAATTCTGATTCTGATTCAGAGGAGACAAAGAGAAAATAAAAAAAACACACAAAAACTAATGAAATAAAAGCTAATCTGATTAGAAATCATAATATAATAGTAGCATGTTTTAGATGCTGGGACTTACAGGATAGTGTTCAATGATCATCCGATTCAACAGAGTGGAAACAGCATAGAAGCAGCCAACGTTCAGCCCTGCAGAGAACAAACAAAAAGTTATCTATTCTAAGAAAACCTGAAGGAAAGGAAAAAGTCAATATGGGACCTATTTCCCCTTTTAATAAAACACACTAAGTCAATAGTCAGACTTTACTTAGCTAGAAGAAGTTTAAACTGGAGCATGTGTCTCTGAACAAACAAACAACAACAACAAAAGGAGCTTAAAATCCCATTGTTTAGACATGTTAAGTGTACACATCATCAATCATTAACATTGTCATCATTAAATAGTGACCTTTAAGCAAATGTGACATCTTCAGGACCTTTAGATCAATGCAACACATAGGCAGTGTACTGGAAGTCCATGTGTTATGATGACACATCCTCATATCTGCACACCAGCTGATAAAGACTGTAGGTTTCCACTAATGAGATATCTATTTTGAGACTTTTACATCTTTGTTACCTTTCACCTCATTATTGCAACAACATCCCAGGCTGGACAGGTGATAGGAGTGTGAGGTGACCTGTAAGTCACTATGATAAATAATAATAAAGACACACCATTATGTCATAGAAGCATGTGAAGACACAGATCTGACGCACACTTCCTCCTCTGCTGTGATGATATCATTTGATGTGACCGATGAACCTACAGCATGCTATTAGTGTTTATGGAGAGTTAGAGAGTATTACAACAAACTAAAGTCATGTAAGGAACTATGATGTGAGTGAATCAGATGTGCCTGGAGAGATATTACCTGCAAATTCCTCTTCCTGTAATACTAAAAAATAAATAGTTGTGCTGACAGCTTGATGACTGATAGAAAATGAATGAGAAACAATTCTGATATTTGATTAATCTCTAATAATCATAATGTTGACACTTGCTGGTTCTAACTTTTAACAGTTTTCCAGTTCTCCTTTTTTCTGTTAAGATCATTGTGACTTAAATATCCCTGGATATCTTTGGACTGTTGGTCAGACAGAACAAACAATTTAAAGATGTCATCCAGTCCATCCACCATCCAATTAAACATCAGTGGAGAATCAATTGAAAAGTGTGTAAGACTTAGTGGCAGATAGCGATAAGATTGCAGAGTGCAACCAAGTGAAAACCCCTTGACTCAACCAAGCACAAAGGAGAACCTACTGTGGCTGCAAAGCTCAGAAAAAATGCTCTGGGCTACTGTAGAAACATGGTGGTTAAACATGGCATTCTCCATAGAAGAGGACTCACTCTCTCTGTAGATAAAAACGGCTCATTCTGAGATAACAAGAATGTTTATTTTTAGGTTATTACACACTAATGGAAACATTCCTATGAATATTATGTTCAGTTTGTGAGAATAGATCTTACTTATTTTGAAATTCTTGACCTTTGAACGGGAAATACAACAGCTAGGGGCCTGTTCCTCCAGACAAGGTGTCATTACACAAAAGTGTCCTGTTACACCAGTTAGAATAAGGCAAAAGGAAGTGACCCACCATAGCTAACCACCAGGAGCATGAAGGGCTTGTTGCACAGCAGCCTCAAGATAGAAGCTGTGTACGAGTACTCGTCGGGGGAGAGGTTCCTGGCCTGAGCCTGGGCCTGGGTGGGAGGGATCTCTGGCTTCTCCTGAAACACTGGAAAACAAACACACAATATTTCAAGAGGTTACATGTGTGTTTATGGATATAAGATCATCTGAGGGATAAAGGCAGTTGTTTCATTAAGCTTGTTGTGGTAGTGTATCATCTGTTCTCTGATCAGCCAGGGGGGTAAAAGCCCAGTGTGACACTAGAGGTCATAATGACAGCAGTAACAGTGAAACCAAATGTGTCTGTGTCTGGGTCTGTGTGTGTGTGACAACAAGCAGCAAGCCAAGGCTGGACATTCCTCTGAAGAAAAGATAACTTCTTCACTATCACAGCTGTTTTCCAGCTAGCTAATTATCCTCTGAGTGAGACATCTATTGTCTATAAGCCAGGATGAGTCAGTTAAACAAACACTAGTCATATCAGTGCAATAGTCTCTCCTTTGCTTAATTTGTCTCTATAAAGCCATGTACCTTTTGAAAAGTGCTACAAAAAGTTATTTATGCGTGAGTCAAATGCACAGAATAGCAGTGAACAGACTAATGCACATACTACATACTAATGTCTAATGCTTGTCCATTGGCTTTTTTATCTTATCTGATATAATCAATTTTATTAGCACATCCCTGATTCACAAACCCAGTATTACCTTAGCATCCAGATTGGATGAAGGGTCAAAAGGTTCAACACAGAACACTAGTTCAGTAACCTACAATACACATGATTTTTTTTTATTACTGATTCTGTGTCTTTTGTGTTGTCACATGACTACAGTTTCATTATTAGGTCACATGGTGAACACTGAAACCATGAAATAGAAAAAATAATTAGTTTCTTTCTACTTTATTCACATATAAGTGGAGACGTTATGTAGATCATCAGCTTGTTTTAAATTAATAATTAATCTGTGACGTATAGTTTTTCTATTGTTTCTTGTCTGTGTGCATTATTCTGTATTGTGTATAGTTTCCAGAGACAAATTTGTCAGTTTACAATTTTCAGCTAATGCTGTATCAATGCTGTATATATATAATATATGCTGTCAGTATAATAGTGGGTATTATAGTAATAATGTTTTTTTTTTTACTGTTAACATAGTAACTAACATTGAGTTTTATTATTTAGTTGGGAATTTGTCTGGGAGGAGTAACTACTGTATGTCTACATTTTCCATGTCTCTCTGTATGCAGTAACAACACATTCTGCATAGTAACCACATTTCATATTTTACTACAGGGGTTAGCATGTTGCCAGATAATGCTTCCATGCCTCTGTAAGTAATGGTTAGTAAAGAAAAGGTTAAAAAGTGCGACCTGTTGTGAAGCTTCATCATGTTTTTCTGAGTGTCAGTGAGTTTTAGTCCTTTGTGGAGGTGAAAGGAGGATTTAACAGAGCTGAGGGGAAGAGGATTTCCTAAAAATACTTCCATGACTCCCTGAGTTCCTGCTTGTATTTCACATCGTGTCGGAACACATCTCATCAAAAGGTGGACAATTACTGCAATTACTGCAGCTGCTTTTCTAGTGAACTGCAATGCTGTCGAGTTTTCGGTAGAAAGCACATCTCAGGGACACTCAGCTTTCCTGAGGAGCCCAACAACCAGACAAGGAGCTCCAACATATGGGAATGATCGACACTGCATGTCAAATAATGAACCCTAGAAAATCATTTGTGTTCTAAAAATATAATTACAATGCCATCTAAAAAACGTCAAATCCCAGTGGCATTGCTGTGAGGGGCAAACGAGGTAGGTGAGATAACAGCTTTGTCACAGTCCCTATCCACTGAAAAGCACAAACTGTCAAGATGACTCTTCGCTTTATATATTTTCCCCACCATGACTGTGGAAGTTATATGACATTGAAAGGGACTTGCACTGGGCTGCTATTGCATGAGTTAGCAAAGAGCCCTGACAGCCCCTTGAATAATCATCTTACCGATGACCACGAGGATAAAGATGAGGGTGGCCACTCCTGCGCTGATGTAGAACATGATTCTGATGTGATGAGCCAGCTCATTCATATCGTCCACATTAGGCACAAGGATGGGTGGGATCAGGAAGCCAATGGCAATGCCCATCTGTGGGTGAGAGGCACAAAATTAAAAGATGACTCTGCACCTCGAGCTGACGACTAGTCACACACACACACACACACACACACACACACACACACACACACACACACACACACACACACACATACAACACAGCTGCAGTCAGCACACAACATTAAAGGGGGGAAGTAGCATTATAAACGTGGGAAAAGTTTGAGATAAATAATCAGAAAAGAAAAAAGCTTACAGAAAAGGTAAAGTATATAGGTTTTTTTTAATTGCCTCGAAAATAAAATGTATGCAACAAAGGTTCATGTCCGACAGTTGTGTGAGTGATGGTTACCCGCTGTTGTTAACACATAATTAATATATGCTTATTCACCATATGTAGTGACTACATTCAAAATACGCCGGAGGGGTGTTAAAGAAAGAGTTTAACATTTTGGAAAACTTGTTTGTTTTCTTGATGAGTTCCATGAGAAAATGCCGCTCTCCCATCTATAAATACGACGCTACAGCCAGGAGAAGCTTAGCATGAAGACTGTAAAACAACATGGCACCTTTAAAGCTCACAAATAAACATTTGTTCAATTCATACAAAAACCAAAGTGTAAAAAGGCATATCTGAATCTGGATGACTTCCTGGTTGGAAACAGCTGAAGGGCAACCAATGTTTCTAGTCTTTATGCTAAGCTAAGCTAACCAGCTGCTGGCTGCGACCTTATATTCAATGGACAAATATGAGGGTGGTATCGATCATCTCATCTAACTCTCTATCAGAAAATAATAGGCATATTTCCAGAAATGTAAAACTATTGCTTTACACAGTACAGGTAGTGCAAGGGGTCAGCCCCCGTCCACCCTCAGGATCTAGTGGATCTGGAACAAATGGGGGGGTGTACTAAATTTTCCAAATTTGAATACCACATGAGTAGTTCCCACTTCCTCAGGTTCCTACAGCCTCAAGAACATTCCAGAGGGGACACCAACCGAGGTCCCTCAGCTCTAGGGGAAAGGTGAGGGAAGGAAAAGGGCAAGAAGTGACACGTTCCTTGAAGAGGAACCAACCTGTGATAGTGATAGTTATAGCGATAGCTTTTGAGGTGTGCAAGCACAGAAATCAGTCAGGTATCAGACCTTTTCAGTCCTCTGCAAATCTTAGAGCCACCACGATTCACGGCATAGATCTGAACCTTCTACCCTCTACAGCACACACATAATGGAAATTTGCCCATGTCCATCATAAGATTCTGGATTCATTAACTTACCTTGTGGTCATTTTGCTAAAGAAAGCTTTATACGATATATTTAGAAACCTATAAAGGATCCCTATTACACAGTAACTAGAGAGTCAGCTGTTTAAACAGTGTCATATATCTAAAGCACTGTATCCCTATTTCTGTCCATTTTGAATAAGTAGAGCAATTTTGATATCTTGTCAAAAACGCAAAACATGCTTATTCTCAATTGGTGCAAATCAAGGTTGGCCTCTCTTATGAAGTTACTTTTGGCACACAAACTGTTGATCTGTTAGATCTTCAAAGCATCGCAAGCCTTTATGGAAATCCTACCTACTTTTTGTTCGTGTGAACTATTTCTGAACGTCCGAGGGGATATGTAAACTACTTGTGCCTGAAAACTTGAACTATCAGTTTTAGGGCCCGGGGCCAAAGCAATTAAATCGTGGTGAGAAAGTAAACATCAACAACAATGTGTCCTTTTATCTTCCGTGGCGGGGAGCAGGACTTAAGAGCAAAACAAGAACATGGGTGACAATGACCGGTATGCAGTGTTTGGTTTAACGCAGGTGAGAGAGGACAAACTTCAATTGAAGGATAAACTGTTTAGCTTCAGAGGTTGAGGAACATCAGAGGGGGGTCAGGCATCTTTTGATGGTATATGTTTACGTACAGTGTTAAAGATTGTGGCAAGGCTTTCATATATAGCCTTATACATAAGTTATACCTCTGCAGTATCCATTGATTGTTTTTCACAGCTAAATTCAATCATAAAGCCAGATTCTTCCCTTTAGAAATAACTCAAGATTGCATCTAACTGTGGCACTCTACTGCCAAACTTCTCAATATATCATCTTCGTAAAGAAACTGCGTTGGTCTTATAAGGAGATGTGTACCATGGCAGGTCAAGGTTTTCAGTTACTTCAAGCTAGTTTAACACATTTTCAATTATTTTCAGTGTGTGAGTTAACTGACCACACACACACACCCTCACTAGGCAGCCCTCACTAGCTTGCCATGGACAGCATTCTCGGTTAATTTACCCCAAGCCTGGGAATTTGTTCAAACTCACACGGTTCAAGCGGTGGAAGTCACCCGCCATCCCTTGCCATTTCCCCTGGCTACACACACTTTGAACCATTAGATGATAACCGGCATCTCCCTTTTTTTTCAGCAAGATATCTGCTTCCTCTACTTTCAATATCTTCCCGATTTGGGGCAGTCTTATCACACACCTGTTGCCTGTGTACATTGTGTGTGTGTGTGTGTGTGTGTGTGTGTGTGTGTGTGTGTGTGTGTGTGTGTGTGAAAATCAAACACAAGTAGAACTTTAAATAGACTTTTTATAATCTATGAAGTTATTTTAGCTGATGTGGAAAATTTGCCCACTGCAATTAGTTTTCTAGCAATTTTCTTTCTGGTGTTGTTTGCATAGAATGTCCTATTGACAGTGTTCAAGAATGAAGACTATATATTTTGAAAATGGTAACACTAGGCTCTTGGTACATATATAGAAACTACTACTATTAAGTAAGCTATCCCAAAGAAATTACTAAAAAAAAGCCCTAACCCGGCGGAAAATACCTGGCATTTTGCAAAAATAACCTTAAAGTTAACTGTAAGCTAATACTTTCACAGCTGATAAAAATTTAGAGAATCCTGAGGTAATTTTGACAGAAGTGAAACTAACAATGTAAGCATGCATTAAGCGTCACTTCTCTTTTTGCTGTTGGAAGCCAACTCCAGCTGTTCTACTGGCAGAGAGAGTGGTTGTGACTTTGTTAAACCTGCTTTACAGGATCAGACAGACTCATTCAGACACACATTTAAGATGGCGGATGTGACATAACAAGTTCAGATATGCTGCAAAGACTGTTAAAGATGACAGTGCTCTTTCACTCATCCTCAAGCAGACACGGGCATACAGTTCTCTTAACACCAATATGAGACATTTGTAACACCACACACACACTGATAGACGTCTTAAGCCCAACAGGTAAACAAAGACACACCTGGTTTCCGAGAACACCAATGGAACAGGCAGTGGACACCTCCTGCTGCCCAAACCACAGGGACGCAAGTCTGGATGGGATGCCCAGGATATAAACCGTGGCCACAGAGCACACAAACTGGCCGAAGAAGGTCATGGCAAACATTTTGGGGTCGGCAGTGCTCGTCTTGATCCAGGCCCCGATGCAGTTGAAGGCTGAGCCAACCACCACCACGTCCCTCATGCCCCGGTTGTCGAGCAGCCACATGACAGGCAGGATGAGGGGGATGTAGGTGAGGAAATAGATCATGGAGAGCCAGTCAATGGCCAGGCTGTCGATGCTGTAGAAGCGCATGAAGATGTTGCTGATGATGCTGTACTGCAGCCACATGAAGGCATTGCTCATGGAGTAGGCGCTGAAGACGAACAGCATGAGCCATCGCCGCTTGTAAAGCTTGGTTTCTAACATCGGGAGAAGATGTGCTGTGTCCAGGTCCGAGGTCTGTTCAGTGTCGCTGCTATCTTCCAGGGGCAGATGGTAGTTGTATTCTCCAAAACTGTTTGTCTCTTGTCTTATTGGAGACTGCCCATTGCTTCTGCCTTTGCTTAGGTCGGCTATCCAATCATGAGAGAAGTCATCCTGAGAAATCATGTTGCTCCCAATGAAAGCCTTCCCTTTTTCTTCAGGCTTCTGCAGCACTTAACAGCTGGAGGGAAGAGCAAACATTGTCTCCTTGTGTGTGCACTTTCTTAACACCGTGGCAATTTTACCTGACTAGCCCCTCCCACCCAGCAGGTATTTCCTAGACTGCTGTGCCTTAAATGGAGATTACTGCTTATTACTCCTAATTTAGCGGTGGATCTGGGGTGCAGTTTAAATATAATGAGTTTGATAGCTCTGATCCCAGCCAACAGTTACATACCTGACTGACTCTGTGTAACACCTCTTTGGTCATGTGATGGATTCCTTTTCTTAGGTTTACTCAATTCAAACTCCTCCTTCCAGCTCAGAGAGTGGCTTGATTTTATTGCTTAAGTTAGGCACATGACACACACACGCGTACTGTACATAGATGTGCACAGAGGAGGTAAAGTCCATTGAGGGTGATGCTAACCAAAAACTGCAACTTCATCAGAATACAGACAAACTGCTGAACTGGAAAGAATGGACAAACGCATGAGATACTAGCATGAAAATACGGCTTCAGATTTTGTGGCAACAAACAATGCAAAGCAAGACTGTGCAGGTAAAGTAGCCTTATGCAATAAGTGAAAATCTTACCTAAACCATCTCATCAATAAATGACAGTAAATGTTAAACAGTTAACAGTAGATTAACAATAGGAATACCTCCTTTATCACTACACCTTGAAGTTCAGGTTCAACACTTGTGTACTCATGGGGAGGAAGTACACCACAGTATCCCTCAGCTGGAGCACCAGTTATTAAAGTGTTTGTGGTTCATAAATTGGATTTACTGAAGCCCAATCACTTTTTATTACACCATCTGTCTCTGGCACTAACATAATAGCAGACCTGAAGCTAATTGATTTTAAAAAAGTTGGTTACATACACAGTGCAGTCAGAAAGTATTAGCACTGTGACACATTGTTGGCTGTGCTGGTTTTGTAGTCAATGCACAGAGCTTGTGTACTCAAAAACAATGGGTGTTTACATTAACATCAGATGAGCAGAATATGACTTTCAGGTTTTCCGCCTGCAATGTAGGAAGACTAGTTCATTATAAAGGTGAGTATTATTATATTCACTTGAACTATAGGTCTGACATATAAAACACATAATATTGTTTAGGGCATAATCAGCATGTTATTTAATGTGAACACATGCTTAATCACTTATTTTACAAACAAGTGTTATTCCAACCTTCAAAGCTGCTCTGTTTTGCTTATTGCCAACTTAGTTGACTCGTAAGATACAATTATGTGTCTAATAGTGTTTGAGGGCACAGACTTAAGAAGTTAAGTAACTCTGATGAGGTCAGCGGGTGCTCAGGGGTGCTGATTCATTGGCCTCTATGGAACTTTTCCCTGAGTTTAGACTTGCATATGCTCACATGAATGTCTGTATTTTACTACAGGTCTGAATTGTAACACTTGAATGACACATGTAGGCCTCTACGGTGTCGGCCGGCCCTTGAAAGAGGATAACAAACAGGGTTGAGTGATTGATGGAGCATGACATGATGAAGTACAGGTGCTGCAGAGCAGGGATTAAGGTTAAAATAAGGTGGTGTGGTGGTTCTGATGCTAAATGATGCAAACTGGGGCTTGTTGTCACAGATTACTGTGGTAAGATACTGTGGGACAATTGGTCATGATCAATCATTTCCAAACTTTTTACAGAATATTCGTCTTTCTTGTTTGATAGACTGAGTGTTCCTGACTAAATATTCATGAGAATTAGAGCTGCAACAATAAGTTGATCAACTGATCACTCAATCGACAGAAAATTAATCTGCAACTATTGTGATAGATCATCATTTCAAACTTTTTTTAATCATTAATATAAAAACTGACTAGCTCCAGCTTCGCAAATTCCTGTTCTTCTATGATAGTTTTGTACTTTTCTGGTCAAACACAACAAAGCATGTTGTGCCTTCACCTTGGGCTCTGGAAAGGTGATTGTAATTTTTTTTTCTTTTTTTTTTTTTGGTATTTATGAAGAAAAAACTGTTAGATTAATTGATAATGTAAATAATTGTTAGTTGCCAGCTGCTCTAACAAGAATCCAGTTTCACTGACCTATTCAAATGTATTATCTGGTAATAGATTATCCTTACACTTATGTGCCTCACTGTATAATTCATTTGATAATTCTACATGGAAAAAAGAGAAAGTTGAGCTAGGCTATGAGATGTCCAACACTAAAATAGACTATAGAACGAAAATAGGGAACGATATATTAGGCTCTAAATATATTAAGTTTAAATATAGCCTAGTAAATAAAGATGTTTTTCATTAGAAAAAGCTGTAGGTTTATGATTGAATGGTCTTTAAAGTAAATGCTCTCTACTGTTGTGTTGTGACTGGAGATTTCCCGACAGTGTCCCAGCTGTCTACACCACTTCTGCCAACACGGAGCAAAATCCATGAATGGAAGGAGTGAAAGGAGGAAAAGGAGAACCAAAAGCTCTCTCATTATACTGAAACTGCAACCCCCGAATGCACTTCGTGTGTATTATTCTCAGGCGTCTTTAGGGAAACACCGTGGCACGTCAACATGAAATCAGATAATAATACAGTATCAGTGTTTCAGATGTCTAGTGGAAGGCGCAGTATCAGAGTTGACTGGCTGAGATTGCCTTATTCTCCGCAATAAAACGCTTACCCGCACCAGATAAAGCCGTAGTAAAACAATCTCAGACTCCTATTACTCCACGTCGAAAACGCGCTCGCTAATATGGGCTAAAGGCTGCCTCACGATCATATTACGCTTCCTGAATGTGACGAGTTGTAAACACATGAGGTACAAATAAACAAAAAACCCCGACAGGATATACCTCTGAGAGGAAATTTCCCCACAATATGTATTTTAAAAAGTCAAAGAACCGTCAGTTTACTATACCTGGAGCACGGCAGCATTGGTACACTACTAGGCAGCGCTTACGCACGGAACCAGCAGAAGATGGCGAAATAGTGCACGTCACCTCCCATTTGGTCACCACCCTTAAAAACAAATAGGGCAACACTTCTAGAGAAAGGCGTATTTTGACCAAATGAATACACCTCTGTGTTTGGAGTTGGCACGGATGGTGGTGATAAATGTGCAACATTAATGTGAGACAATATAGTAATGTAGAAAATGTCACTGGAGAGGTGAAAGAGTCAGTCAAATGTTTTTTGAGTAAGTGTTCATTTACTCAACTACTACTACTTATGTAGGCTACAGTTTTGAGATACTTTAGGCCTGGTTGAGTATTTCTATTTATCCTAATCTACTTAACTTCAAAGGGAAATATTGCACTTTATGCTCCACTACTTTTAGCACATGATAATTTGATCTGATTCTGATAGCTATAGTTATGCCTTTCATATCTGCAATGTATAACAATACAATACTTTGCTGAAGATTAACCAGTGGTTCCCAAACCTTTTTGGCTTGTGACTCCTTAAAGTCACAGCAGTCGAGGCTCTTTTTCAGAGTTGTTATTAATTAAAATTTCTCCTCTGTATGTCTCAGATGATGGTTTAATTTAAATAAACTTTTAAGGCCCAAAGAGGAGTTTCTCCAAAATGAAAGAAAGAAATCTCTCCACAGCTGAATGTGTGACAGGTGCGTGAAAAGAAGGTGCAACTTGAAAACAATAACAGACAGTGTGCGGGTCCCTCATTGCTTTCAAGGCCCCAGGGGGGGAAATGATCCAATATTTGACAAATATCAGAAGCAATTAGAAAAAAATAATTTAAAAAATCATAACATTTTGTGTAGGAGAGCTGTGACATTCTGCTTTTGTACCCCATTAATCATCCGCCCTTCAGATTGAGCTTGTGACCCTTTGGAGGGGCTCCACCCATAGGTTGGGAACTACTGGACTACCTAACTATATAATAAAGTAGTTGAAAGCTTCATCTCAACAGCTACAACAATAAAATTCTATAAAAAATGCTGCATAAGTATAAAATGCAATCATGTACAGAGCATTTTACTTGTGATACTTAAAGCACATGTTGCTGTAAATACTTCTTTAACTTTACTTTGAAAGCAGGAGGAGTCCTTCTTCCAACACTGAAGAGTTTATAGGCGTAACATGAAGACGATACAGTGTTTCAACAACTCGAAAAGACCACAAATAATAAATATCCATGGAACCTGATAAGCTTTTTCAAGGTAAGCAGGCTCGGTGACTATGACAGATAAGCTTGAACACTTCAGCGCACACACATACACACACACACACACACACACACACACACACACACACACACACACACACACACACACACACAAGCAATGCTAAATTTGCAAAGGAGGATTGTTAGGAGGATGTTTGCTTAGTCTATGTTTTTAGCAATATCCTAATGAAGACTAACACAACCAAAGACACACAGGCAGATGTCAAAATAAACATGATGACTAGAGTTGGATACCAGAGGTAAATAGGATTGCAGTGGGTAACCCACCACTCACACCTTAGTTCATTAATATTTTCGATTGGTTTTGGTAGATTAACTACAATATTTCTTCCTAAAGTCCACGGACCCCTCCGGAATGTTTACCAGGAATCCCTTTAGTAACTGTACACACTAAGGGATTTAACATTTAACATATTTTCATTCAGGTCAGAAGCACAAATGACTGTCTGGATAGCCATCGGGGCAATGTGGACAATGGGCAATGTGTGCATGTCATTTGATTTTTGGTATTTGATTATTGGCAAATGTGTCTAAGAATTTGCAGCAACACTATAATAAACTATAATATCAACAAAAGCAGGTCCTGCATTATTATCTAATCTTGGTCCTGTGTCAATCTTTAACTGCTTTGTTTATATTGTGCTCAAATGATTGTGATGAATCACACTGAATAATCTGGGGTTAGATATTGTTCTAACATATATGAGAGTGGGTCAGCTGGGGCCCAACAGAGAATATGCCCAATGTCCCCTCAGAGGCTAATCCAGCCATGGGTTTAGGTCTATTTAAGAATACTAATGTAATTAAACATGCCAATTGTATTATATATTTGGGTTTTTCGTTATCATAAGAGATCAACTCACCTGATTACCAAAAACTCCAATGGAGCAGGCGGTGGAGACCTCATCCACGCCGAACCAGACCGATGCCAGGCGGGAAGGCATCCCGAGGATGAAGACCTGCGCGAAGGAACTCGCAAACTGTCCGAGCATGGTCACCCCGAACAGATTGGGTTTGGCACTTGCCACCTTGATCCACGTCCCGGCGCAGTTGAGCGCGTTGGCCAGCAGCGCGGTGACCCGCAGCCCCTTCTTATCCAGCAGCCAGGTGACCGGGAAGATTAAGGGGATGTAGGTGAGCATGTAGATCATGGACAGCCAGTCTACAGCGAACCCGTCCACACTGTAGAACTTCATCATTATGTTGCTGATGATCCCGTACTGGATCCATTGGTACGCGTTACTCAGGGAGTAAAAGCTGAACAGGAACACGATCGCCCAGCGCCTCTTGTATAAACGTGTTGGGGCCGCAGAGCCGCTGTCACCGTTTGGGATGCTGCTGCATTCAATGTGGTCCGCGGCATCCGGACCCTCCGCTCCCAAACGTGGACCGTTATCCTTCGCCTCCTGTGCGCTCCCGTCCTGTGGGGCGCGCTTATTATCTCCCATTTTCTGCTTCAATTAAAACGAGCGCCCTCGGAGGACAGACAGGTCTCCCACCACAGTAATAACCTAAGCTACTTGAAATGTCTTTGAAACCAAGAAAAAAATATATATAAGCTACTACTTTCGGTCCATTTGACAAATGCAAAAATCACTCACTTTTACCAAAAGGACTGAGATTATTTCAGACTTCCAAATGACTGAGCTGCTCTCCAGAAGTTCATTTCTAATACTTGAGCTGTCTGAGAAATCCCCTTTATTACAGACACTGGGTAAGAGCTCACCCGACTTTTACTCCTCCCAGCTGTTGAGATAAGAAATGACAGTGACTGTGAAGTGGGACACACCAACCAGTCAGCCAAAACAGAAAAAAAACTCAACAGAGAGTTTGTGCCAGTGGTACTAGTTTGTCCTTATTGTTGCCTGTTTCCTCTCCTGGTGAAACAGTGCAGATTATCACCCACAACTGTATTCTATTCAGTCATATTCTTCTAATTTATCATAAGGTTGCTATTACTTCTGTACTTTTAGCCTACTGTGTTGAGTTTCTGTAGCCTCAGTCACTACTATGTTAATCTGCAGGTTAAATCCCTCCTGTCAGGAACAATGAGCGCCTTGTACTTTTGTGCTTATTAGTTAGTACATGCCGAGAATTTCTGTTCTTATATACTTATATTTTTCCATGTAAGATTAAATTTGGATCAAATCTGGACTCAGCAAAAATGTGATTATCCATTAGTCCCCATTTGATTAAAAAAATATACAAAGGGAAAGGCATGTGAGCAGCTTTAAGACCTAAAGCAGAACTACATTTGGATGGAATAAAGTTAAACATATAAAGTATTTTGCTTTATGAGACATACAGTTCAATTTAGCAGCTTTTCCACTGTTATCATAAGTATTAGTCAGAGCTGAAACAAAGCCCTACCTCTCCATGATCATTTGTGATCCCAGAAAACAAAGTTTAAAAGCCAAACCAATACAAATGTAGGTACATGTAAATACAGGGTAAACCAGGTTGTGCTGCTACTGACCACCAGATGGCACCGTTTACCAGAGATTTTGCTCATGAAAATTATTTTTCAATTTTGTAGGACTCAACAAAAATACCAGGGAAAAAAAGAAACTAAACATTTATTTCATATGGAAATACAAAATGGGATTTTATGATAGCTTATATGCCTATATAACACCATATACAAAAGTATAAAAAACATAATTGGTAGTAACAATATGGTAACAGAAAATAAAGTACAATGTAAACAGTCATATATATATATATATATATATATATATATATATATGTGCATACATGACGCCTGCGCCAGAACATAGGAATAAAGAAAAATAAAAAAGGATCAACTGCTCTGCCACTAAATGTATGAAAGAACAAAAGTGACCAGAAGATTGTGAAGGTTAGTACGTAGTAAAAAAGGCTTCTGACTGTTTCTGTGGGTGTAAGTACTTCATACTGTACTACCAAATATCATCATCCATACCTTATGGTTAATGCATTCCAGTAATTATTCTTTCTATTTTACTAAATGTATCCTCATGCCCTTCTTGCCTCCTACTGCCCACTTCTAGTTGTATTTCAGTTTCACATTAACTAACAGAATGCATTTTAGAAAGTCATTTTGGGAATACAGACAGAGAAATATAAAATGTCTGTTTATAGCCTGATCACATATATACCCATTGTTTTTAGGTTATCACTCCAACCTCACTTGAAAACAGTAATTGAAATGCTGTTGAAACAATAGTTATATGGTAACTTGGCGACAAACAGACAGCTGTTTAATCAAATTTAGCTCAGCTTTAGCTTAGACTTTTAAAATAAAAAATATTAATTAGTAAATTACCAAAGTACTTACTGAAATTACTGAGCTGACATTAACCACTAGGTAATAGTGGAAACCTTTTCTGCAACCATATGGTATAAATCAACCATAAAGAAAACAAACTGAATGTATGGGATGTAAGGTCATTTGTCAATATCTTTGTTTGACTTCATACTGATAGTGGCTGGAGCACTGATGACCAAAAATGACAAAGACATGGGAAAACAGGAGGGACAAACAAAGAGAAGTTTGATTAAACTGCCAAAACAGTGTCCAATCTTATTGGATCCACATTTTGTGGTGTAATGCTCTGTGACTTAAGGTAGGTGGACCTGGCGGCTGGTTCTCCTCCGTGACCGAGGTCCAAAACTAAGTGCTGCTAGTTGGCTGCTTCTTCTCAAATGTAAACTGTAGAAAGTCGTCGCACCCTCACTTGGCCTCCAGCTGCTGCAGCAGGGGGTTCACCTCGCTCTCGGGGGTTTTCACACTGTCTGTCCTGACAATACACGTGGGGCGATGGCGGTTAAGCATGAGGATCAGTTGCTGTCGTTCGAGCTTCAGCTCCTCAATCTGGGCTTTAAGGTCAGAGTTTAACATCTCTAGTCTCTCTGATTCCTGTTAGAGGATAGAGAGATAGAGAGAAAATGACTGACATGAAGTAGGAGTGGTGTTTTGGCAGGTACAACAGATAATGATAAACATTTTTTACAATAATGACAAAGTGTCTCACCTTTTGTAGATAATCTGTCCTCTCTTTCTTTTTGTTTCGACATCGAGCTGCAGCCACTTTGTTTTTCTCTCGCCTTCGTTTCCTCCTCTCTTCCTCTTCATTCCTCTAAACAACAGTGCCGGTAAAAAGGGTTTGAGGATAAGTTGTGATGGACTTGCTGTACATTAAAGAAATATTACCTTCTTCATAATACCTTGTCATTTGACTATGATAGCAGTATGCTTTGGTCATGCTTTCTTCACTAAGCATCAATGAGCAACTAAATGAAAAACAACCACCTCTTCCTACGTTCTGGATTTTTAACTTTGCATGCATGCTGATCTGTCTCGGTCACAGTATGCACACAGTATGCATGCTCATTTTATTCTAGAAGTAACACAACTATAACAAGACATAACTAAAACCCTGAAACCCAAAACAAATAAATTATCTTCTGCACTACTATCACTACAACCGAGCAACAGTAACATGTCCCACTCTGACCACTAGGTGGATCTGTTGATTAAGCTATGACACCCCACGTTGTAATTGCAAAGGTGCTTTCAGTTCAAGCACTTGTTTAAACTATATTAGGTACATTTTACATACAGCTAAGCTAGAATCTTTATGATACATTTAAAATACTGCGTTTGGATTGCTGCATCTTTTCTTTTCACTGTGGCTAAATCCCATAAAAATAACACATAGATGTTCAATATTTAGAAAAAAGCACGTAACCTGAGTAAAGACTCAAAATGCACTATTTACATTTACATTATATAGTTATTCAGCTACTCAGTGTTTCCTATACCTCTGTTTTGATCACTAGGGGCCTCTTTCCTAGACTGTCCAGGAAGTGCAGAGGTGACAGCATTGTACCAAACTCCTGGAAGTCACCAAATTTGAGCTTGTCAGTCAGCGTGGTGGCTGAGATCCCAGCCAGTGGGCCCAGGCTGGGCAGGGAGCCTGCTGTCACAGAGGGATCTGGGATTTGTCCTGGCATCGTGTCAGACTCGGCTGTGACCACAGCTAGGAGGCAGAGGGAGAAAATGGGAGACATACTCAGACGGCAACTAAATCAGATCAATGAAAAACACATAAAACACTGTCTGCTTGTTATAGTACATACTGGGGTATGCTTTATGGTATGAGGGTAGAAAAAAAGCCATTTTACATTAACAACTTAGAGACAAATAGATATATAAGTGCTTTATTTGACCTACAGTCTTTTATAGGGCTTCAAGTAGGCATTTCCCTGAAGTGCACTGCTCCTTTCTAGCAGTCAGACTAGCCTTCCTGAGATGAATTGCTGGTCTGTTACAGAAGCCGGATGCTGAGGTTGCTCTCATTAGGCTATTTTATTATTTTGCTTCTTTTCTGGAATGAATATACTACCATTTATAGAGATCAATAATTTACCTAATTTAATCCCCAAAGGCCAAAAGAGAGATGAACAAGATTGCACAAAGCAGACTCAGACAAATACCCCCTTTATTTCAGGAGAGGCGAAAGCGAGCCATTGGCAAGAAATACCCCTTAACTGTGGTTTCCTCCCTATGAGACTTAATGTCAGGGGAGAAGAATGTGGCTGACAGAATTCAGAACAATGTGGCAAAGTCTGACCCCAAATCTGAATTATTTTGTTTTGTTTAGCCAAGTAAAAAAATTAAGATGTTTACTTCCAATGCTTTTTTGCTGAACTGATTTTATACTGTCTACCACCGGCAAATGCCTCAATTTGAAAATGCTGAACATGAACATTTAAATATATCCAAAGACAATGAGCAAAGCCAGCCAAAGGCACAGGAAATTACTACAACAGCTCAGCGGATTTCCAAGCCACATGATGCAGCCAAAAACGACTATCTGAGGTCAATTACTCAGACCTTTTGCCCACAGTGCAGGAATAAACGGCAATATCTGTGTCACTAAAACACACACACACACACACACACACACACACACACACACACACACACACACAATATCACTAAAGTAAACAGCCACCTGGCTTATTATTATCTGATAGCACAGACGTATGGGGATTTCAATGGCAGAGTTGATGTGGGACCAATTATGCATCTACTAAGTAGTTGTGCTGAGAACATGAACTTGCAGGCACGCATGAGAACCTCACATGGGAATAACTTTCCATTTTTACACTTCTCCAAACTACAGGTCAAAAAGACAAAGTGGAACTTGAAATTCTTCACGAAAACAGAAAACTAAAGCGAAACACAAAACCACCATGGTTCATAAAGAAAGATTCCCAAGCATACAGTATGGACTGATAGATTATAATCCACAGTTTATGTATTATTAAAACTAATTAAGCTATTAAACAAGCTCTGGTCATTTTATTATACCCCTGAAAGTTAAAGAAACCAGTTCCCTTAAACTGATTATTCTGCATTGTGACAATTTATTTGTATGTATTTTTACAAAATAAAATCCCAGGTTAGTTTATGAATACACATTTGCAGTACTTAGTAAGCCACCACACTGTGTTGCAGCATGCATACTGAAGCCATTGGTCAACTTGAAAGCGGAAGTTTTTCTTCAGTGCGGCATTCATCTTACGTAACTTTGTCTTCCCATCAGAGAGCTGCAGTGATAAAATGTTACAGCTTTTCGTTCACATCGGATTTCGCTTCGGATAAAGCACATTATAAAGAACCTACGCACCACACCATTATGAAGGACATACGACACTAAATAAGAACATTTTGTTCTGAATTGTGCACGCCGTGCTTCCATGTAAGAGGAGCATGCAAACAAAAGAAAATGATCTTTCTGCAGCATGCTCCGTAAGATGTCAGGTCTACTTTGAACACCCCAAGAAAAAAAAAAGAGTAAAAATAACACTGAGAGAATGCAGCGGATAGCAGCTTATAACCGAAAACATCACAGACCTGCTGGCTGCCTGTTCACAAACTATGCTCGTTATGACCTATGCGTGGCGCGCCAATGAGCTATTTAATATGGAAAAAAATGATCCGGTGCTCGACTTATGAAGTTTTGAATACCGACCTGACTTTGATCCCAGGTGCAACAAATGTCCTTTCTTCTGGTCAGCCGAGGGTCGAGAGTAGATTTTAAAAAGTGGAAATCGTTGCATCAGCCCGATTTTAAACGTGATCCCAATCTGGGAGGATTTGGGAATGCGGAACTTAGGCTATGCCAGCCAAACGTAAGCAGGGATGTAAAAAAGTACATAGTGGGGGCAGAAGTGGGGAAGTCGCACCGCTCCTCCCATAAAGAAACACTGAGGCTGCAGACTGCAACGACAGAATGTGGCTCGGATGGAGGCCTGCACTGGAAATACAGTGCGACCACGCATCTACACTGAAGCCCAGAACTAATGCATATGAACATTTAAAAACTTAATCATTAACTAATTAGGTTTACTGAGAAACTGAAGGCATGTTAAAGGAATATAGTGATTCCATAAAAATGAGAATAGTTTAAATCTGCCTTCCTTTGTATTACTATGACCTTATAATCTAAATGTATTGGATTCATATATAAAGTTAACATCCCAGTTGAGGAATGTAATATTCTCATCTGGGTTCAGAAATACATTTGTATTTCTTAATTGTTTCCAATTTGTGATAGAGACAGATCGCAAACACCAGCACCAAACACCACTCTGAATGTAGATTTATTATAATTATTCAGCAGCATAGATAAGCAATCAATGCTCATTTTTACTTATTTTTAAATTTAACAAATAAGTCAAAATCTCAAAGGTAAAAAAATAAATCATAAGTTACATCTTGATAAGATATATAGTATATAGCACTGGATGTTTTCATGGAAAACTTTCAATGAGGTTAAACCACAGTTGATGACATTGAGGTATGCAGTTACTTAACATGGATCAATATGTAAATACAACATTTACAGCAATCAATAACACTGTTGACACCAAAACACAAAACCATACTGTAACATTAAAATTCCACATTACATCTTAGATCTAGTAACAGATCCGATATATATAAGCGTTGAAAATTATTTGGAATTTCTCAGCATGCGTTTTTTTAAAATGAAAACTTTACTTCAGTCCCTCCTGTAAAAGTAAAATCCATGCTTTTAGCTACATCACTCAGTTGGCTATGTATCTGGAGAAAGTTTATATGTTTGCTTAGTCACACACAAGACATTTCATGAATGTATTCCTTGAAGTGTTACAGCATACTGTGGCATATGTTTGTTGGTATTATTTCAAAGTCAGGAACCTGCAGAACAGAAAAAAAACCCAGAGAGATCACACAGATCACTTCCCTCTGTACATTATAAGGCTAGGAGAGTTGGAGAGTTGAGAATATCAACAGATTCAGCTTTGCCTCCTCCGCCTTTATGGCTGTCTAGTCCCTCTGTGAGAGAGTCCAGCTCAGGGCATGCAAATGTGAACACAGACAGGTAGCTGCTGCAGGTTGGCGTGGAGGTCACCACAGGAGTGCTGAGAGGCTCCAGGTCGCTGGAAACCGACTTGTACAGGGTCTCCCAGTCCGAGACCCCGAGAGAGCTGCTCAGATCTATGTCTGGCACGGATCGAGCCGTCTCCATGGGGGTTTTCTCCTCCAAACTGGGCAACATATTTTCCAGTAGCCCCTCCTTAATGTCCAGAGAGGGCTCGAGATCGCAGATGTTGATTTCAGCACTGGCACACAGCAAGATATTGGAGTTCCCAGAGATGGCTGTGGACGGATCACTGGGGATGTCCATGTCCTGGAGCGAAGGAGCTTCCTGGGTGCCATCCTCTGGAAGTCTGTCCTCGTCTGAACTGGGTGGTAGCTCTGGGGAGCCTGTGGGCTCTTGGAAAATAGACTCCATCTCTTCTGACATCTGGCACACTGGTTTATGTGTGGCAAGGATAAATTCAAGCCGCTCTTTCTCTTTGAGGAGGTTGGCTATTTCCGTCTCCAGGGCTGCCTTTTCCTCCTCCAGCTTGTCTGTCTCCTTCAGATAGATCAACATCCAAAACATCATCCACATTGGAAAACACACAAACAGTGGGTGCAAATGACAGCTGAGTAAATGCATCACTGTTTACTTACACCTTGCAGCGTGTCGGTGAGTTCCCTCCGTCTGTTGCGGCACTTTGCTGCGGCCATTTTATTCCTCTCCCTCCTTATCCTCTTCTTCTCTTCCTCCTCTGGAGACAGCTGGGATGTGACAGAAATAATTCAGTTATTGCCTTGAAGAATCCAGACCGTTTCATCCTCTAATCCGCTACATCCGTTGCCAATTCACCCTCTGAAGAATGGCAAAAGCATGTTTCGCTGCAATGCGTCTAAAAATAGATCATTGTTGCAGACTTGCTGTGACCTGAATATAAATTGACTGCCTAAGGAAGGCACACAGCCAGCACACGGCACCAGAGGAGCATGCACAATAGCTGTTGCACACAAGGATTTCAGATTGGCATATGTAAATTCACACTATTGACTATTCTGTCCAATAGCAGGTAGACTTCATCTGAGCAAACCTACCTGCTCTGTTTTCCCCTTTCTGACAGCATTTTTTCCCTTATTCCCGCCCTCTTTGGGTGTCGCCTGGTGAGAGCTTTGTGGTTCATTGGCTTGCTTGCTACCCAGAGACGGGGAGACAGATGTAATAATCGTAGGCTGGACCATCCACTGGAAATCTGGGGTAGAGGAAATTGCAGTGACTGTTGGAACAAATGGAGTGTCTTCAGCGCTCATGTCTTGGCAGAGCTCCTGAAAAATGGAAATAATCAACAATGAGGAATATAATAGATTTTTAAAAAAAAAACACAAATATATTCCCATGCTATTAATGATTTCAGGTGGATCTTATTTTGGTCACAATCATCAATAACAGCTACAAATAATGTGTTTAGAGTCTAAAACAGAGGGTGGCCTGCATGTTATATTTTCTTGAAATATACCCGACCAGAAATAGCCTTCTCCGGATCAATATTTGACTTTATCATTGTTTCTGACGTCAACACTGACGCAGAGATGCTGTGGAGTCTCCTGAATGGATTTATTTTTCTCAATGAACCGCTGCATCGACACGCTCACATTTGGTCCCAGGACGTCGGAATCATAACAACCCGACCAAAGGAAGCTATTTTGTCACATTCCCACCCGCACTGATCTCTGGGCAAATGATGCAGCACATGTATCAAAAATGATTTTGTTTTTTGTTTTTGTTTTTTAAATTAAGCGCACGCAGTTAATTAAAATCTTATCAATCAGTTCCACCCCCCCTCCCCCCCATCCCCATCCCCCCACCGTGAAGATAAAAGCATTAGGGCACTCAGTCTGTAAATCACATTTTTTTTAAAAAGAGGGCTGTTTTAATCTGCTTGTAAACTGCCTCCCGGGCTGCACGTTGAATATATGATCAACAAAGCCATTCATACCTTTGCATTGCTCTCTGAGGAGGAAGCTGGAGAGCTCGCCTCTTCTGGCGTCTTCTGGCAGAGCGTCCCGACAGGAGACTCTGTCCGGCAGGTGGGAGAGACTGAATCCATGTCGGGCGTCAGGTTGAGGGGGAGAGAAAAAAAAAACACACACACACGAGTCCTGGTCAATGACAAATATGACTGTGGCCTTCCGCTGAGCAGAGCGGCTCGGGTCTTTTCTCCAGGTATATACCTGGTAACTGGACGACTAGAATGCAAGCCCCTCCTTTTATGCTCTGCTAGAATTTTATGAATGAACCAAGACTGTACCATCCGCGGAGGGGGAGGAGGGGGGGCAGACTGACAGCCACGCAGGCCTACATTTCGGGGTAAAAAGAACATTATTTGAATTCATCCTTTTGTATATATTCCCAAATGAATAATATAGTAACCATTTCTGTTAGATTTATTCACAACCACATCATCGCACTGGAGTCAAACAGCAGTTTTCACTCCCATTCATAAAATATCGGCTTCATGTGAATGCAATGTGAGGTGAGAAACGTGAGCCTATTTATAAATACACATATGTAACCATTCCATGTGCGATGGAAAGGCTCTGGTGCGTTCATTTAATCAGGGCTGAAGCTCACTTAAGAGATTAAGAGTGCACAAATATCCGAACAATATATCCACTGTTTTTTGTTTTGTTTCATGTGCAAAAGCTAATTTATTGCAAGGTCGATGCAAGCCATTTTAATGAGCATTTCACAAATATAGTAGGCCTATGTCACCTAGGACATATCTTACATATTTACTCCGTTTACAGATGAACTCCAAAATTAATTAATTTCGCCAACCCCATTTAATTCATATGAAAAACATCCTCCATCTTTTTTAAACTTGACCGTCTGACGGACCTCTCGGTGAGCTCAGCACTTTGGGACTGCCTTTCCCAAAGATAACAATCGAGGGCTGTTAGCAGACGTAATGAAATGATGCTGAATTGTTTACTTGGGGAGGAGGAGATGAAGAGGAGAGGTTGAACATGTGGGGGCGGAGAAGTCACGTGACACGACCCGGAACTGGAGGGAGGAGAATAATAATGAGATGATGATGATGATGATGATGATGATGATGATGGGGGGTGATTGGCTGCATTTGACAGGAGCAGCATCATCTTTCACTCCCATCACAACAAGGGACTGGTAACCGGTCTTTTCGGACCTGGTGTTTGCTTTTCAATTCTACCTTGCGGTCAGCTCTAGAAAATGTGCTGGTCTCAGGCGAGTATGAAGTCAGCCAACGACAGAAAGCTACAACTAATTTAAAAGGTACGAGAGCGTGAGCACCCGTGACATAATGGCAGACTTACTACAGACAGTCTTAGCAGAACAAAGAGTTCAAAAGTTCAATATTAAAAAATAAGACACTGGATCACTACATCCTCCAATAAAACACACATTCCTGTAAACTCTCCCGTTGTGTTTACTATAAATAAAATGGAGGGAAAAGGTAAAAATCTAAATTTTATTTTTTTAAAGGGCACTTTATAGAGGAAGTAAGTGTTTCTCTTTTGAAAACAGTCTGATACCATATGTTAAGTACATTGTATGATTTGACTGGTTTTGCCTTAAAGATCAGTTCTTGTCTAGTCTTATATCAAGATATGAACATAATATTGGTTCATCTTCCCCTGTGTTAACTCTTTCCTTTAAATCAGTGATTATTTTGATACATGTTGTACAGTAAAGAGTGCCACGCAGGGACATTTTTTTTCATTTTCCCTCAGAAAATCAGGATCAGTTTGACATTTGCGTCTACAGCAGAACTCCTATGGGTGAGTGGGTTGAGAAAACAACATAAAATAATATGATTTTTTTTTTTCCCCTAATGAATTGATGAAGGAAATATTCCAACTCAGAGATGATGTGATGCAAAATCCTAATTGTTTTCGGTCAAATAACTTATGAGCGATTAATGCTCGTCTTCAGGCAGTGGCAGGGTCCCAGACCAACCGGTTGAACCGAAAATGAATCATGGCGTGGAAGCGAAGAACTACGCAGAGGTGAGGGACTGTTAGTACTAGTATATCAAAGATCATGAGTACCATGAGTATTTATCCAAACCACGACTGATTAATGAACTTTGAGACAGCAGTAAGAAAGGTGATAACAGAGATCACAGCATCTAAACATATCTGATAGATTTTAGTCTTGAAACCGTCAGAAACTGACCCCCCCTTGAGGCGAAGCAGAGACATCTTGAGCATCTCTCACAGTCCACTGCAGATGACTTTAACTATTTGAAGAAACGAGGGACAGATGAAATACATAAATGGTAAATGGATAAATCCTTATGTTGAGTGTATATGTACATCACTTGCAGCTAGGCTTTTTTCTATGGATTAAAGTTTTCCATCATCTCTTCTCTTTTGGCCACATCCCTGTGTGAGATGTCATAGCAGGGGTTTTGCCTTTAACAGTGGATGGAAATCACCTGCTGTTAGGGGTGTGGTCAGAAGCAAGCTTGGGGTCTGAACACAGAGTTGCAACAGTTTTCTCATCTGTGTGATTCATTGCTTGTTGTGTCTGAAACTATGACATTGACTGAAGTGTTTTACTGCTATATTATTATCTTAAACAGCTTCCACCAACACACGATTGCTCCTCTTCAGCATTATTTCCGTGAGTACATTGGCCATGTGGCAAGTTTTTGAGACGATTCTTCAAGGCAAAGAAGTTGTTTGACTGAATAAATTTTTTCCAGCACAACCCGAGGGACACAGCTTGATAATCAAGTGGACCACATGTTTGGAAACAGTTAATTTATTTTAGTATTATTCATTTCTGACATATGTCTTCCTATGAATTTACAGTTGCTTTGGTAGAAAGCTAAAAGTTTTGGCCAAATTAACAATTTCAGCCATTTAATAAGGGAATTCTTATTACATAAAGTTACATCAAGTACACATTTAAAAAATGCACACCCACTTATCTATTTCCATATAGTTCCCACGCTTTATACATTCTTCTCAGCTTCTGCAGGTTGGGTTTCTTTGATTCCTGCAGGGACAAGAAATGCTTAGTCACACCAGATTGTTGTGCTGTACAATGCCTTGAATACTACATTTAGTATAGTCAGGTGTGCTACTCCAGTCTGGTACCTTTTGGTCTTGGTCCAAATGGAGGATGTCTACTAAGGGAGCAATGGATGGACGGCCGTGGGCACACTGGAAGGGCAGCTGGCAGGAGGACAGGGACGCCACCAAGCTGTAGCATTCATCTCTACTCAGGCTGTCATTGAATTTGATAGCACCTGTTTAATGGATACATATGATCTGTATGAAGTAGTGTAACTGGAATTTATTGGATTACAATTGCACAAAAAAAATTAACTGACAGATTAAGAGAAGTAATTTAACCTTACCGTGGCATGCTAGGGAAGCTAGCACCTTCAGCACAGTGAGAGGCAGAGTCCCTTTAACTCTACCAGTTGAGCGGAGTAACTGAGATCAAGAATAAGAAATAATACATGTTACCCTTTATTGAGTAATCCACACAGAAAGGTTTAGAGACTAGAGACACAAGCTTACCTCAATCTGCTCTTGAAGGTACTCCTGATGTGTGATTATACAGAAAAAACAAAAAGGTAAACATAAGGGGACAGAATTGTAAAACGCGTACTAAATGAGTGAATGACAATAGATAGTCTTAATATGGAGGTTTCAGAAGTTGTACCTCAACAATAGGCTTGATAACAGATGGTCTCCCCCGCCTGAGCTCATTGCTCTCCTTTTCCATGAAGCACAGTGGTACCTTCCCTACAAGAACTTGTGGAACCGCTGCCTGTGAGAACTTCACTTCTAGGCCCAAACTCCGTAAATGTGGCTGACAAGACCTGCAAGAGGAAGGGTCAACAGTACATCAGCAATACAAAAAACACTTCTCAAACAATAATGACATTGTAATAATGTGCATGGTATGAAATAAATAGGCGGGAAATAAATACAACAGCTCAGGTCAGTATTCAGAATAGTAAAGGGATTAAACATAAAGAGTTTAAAGAGCTGTGTGATGCAGTTTGACATTTGAATTTGAATAACCGCACACAGAAATGGTGAAAGTTGGTTTATAACATTTGGTCATCTAGCTTCTGACTAGTTTATGCTGGTTTACAAGATGTAAGTGGGAGGATGACAACAGGCTTCTGAGGTGAGTGACTGTGTGTCAGTATCTGTGAGGCCTCGTATCATCAAGGAATATAGATCAGAACATCTGAATCACAAAAGGGATCAGAGCTCCAGGACATCCTTCCTGTAACCATAATCGAGGGGAAAAAGGCAGATTGTGACACAGAACCAATACCTCCCTGCTGGCACATGTTCCTACAAAAGAACTCCTTCCTTCCTCCTCCAATTAAAAGAAAACAAAGTGAAAAAACGTACAACCTTTGAATGTAACTAAATTAAATGTAACACGAGGCATTTGACAGTGTACACTCTACTATTAACACAGGCTACAGTAACAGTAGTATTGAAGCTACTGAATGATGGCATATGAGCCAAAGTGCTACGTAACAGCTCTGGGTTAAGACAGAGGTGAAATGAGGCTGCGTCACTGCACCCACCCTTTCTGTCATCTTTATTGCAGCCATACTTCAACTCATTGCCAAAATTGCTGCTGGGTGCCTCGTTGTTGTATAGAGCAGACAGCTGGCTCCTAAACCTCAACCACTTTACTGCCAACTCTAGGGTAAGTAAATCCATCAAGCAATGACAATGCCACCAGTGTATCCTAAACACCATCACCAGCACATACAGGACAGAAGACAGGTCCTGCATCAAATCAACTGTAAAAAAATAAATAAGTAGTCCATTTCCATTAAACTGGCAGAATTCTCTTTAAAAAAAAGAAGCTGACTTAGAGATATAGCTTCCCTTGAGCTGTGTTGTGAAGGCTACAACCAATCATTTTTGAAAACCATGGCCATATAGAAAAACACACCTAAGCAGCCTTTGCTCCTCATCTGTTACACTGATCTCAAGAGGTGGCAAAATGGTTGATGAACACAGACGTCTCTCCTCTGGTGCATCTGGGTCATCCTCATAGGAATCTATGAGAGGAGATACAGTTATCACTGTAGTATCCCAACAACAGCATTATTAATTTACCATTTTATTCTCAATATTAATACTTTGCATTGTGCATTTTTTTTTACCTGCAACTAGATTTTCAAGTCGTACTCTCTCGTGTGCAGCGTGTTGATCCACCAGCACCAGAAGGTTTCCTGGGGTTTCAATATCAAACACATGAGGAGCTGATAAAACAACAAATGACAAAATGGTAAAGTTCCTGTCTATACCTTCATTTTCTGTGATTGCTGCAGGGTCTTCATCGCTTGTATTGATAAGACATGCAAGAAACTTCTTATCCACTTGATGAATGACCTACAAGGTAATTAAAAAGCAATTACTTCATAACATCAATAAAGGCAACATTTTGTCAGAACATTCAAGAAACCAAAAGAGAAATTTGCCTTCATTGAGTTAATCATGGCTTTAGAAAAACGGTATGGATACAGGATGTTGTGGATCTTGACAGCCAGTCCGTCAGCTTTCCCACTTGATATGTCCACACCAACCTGTTGGCACAGTAGTTCATAATGTATCATTAACACACATAAAAGGCAACTTAAAATTGTATGTCTATAAGACACTAAACTGTACAACTTATACAACAAGTGGTGTAAATCCAACCAGTAAGCGCCAAAATTTACCGTAGGAGGTCGGACAAACACAGGATTATTCCATTTTGAGTACAATGAGGTAAGAGAGTTGGAGCTCTCACCATCATCATCTGTAAGACAGACAAGATTATACATAAACACAAACAAGCAAATATTCATGTTGTATCCTGTGTGTGTGTTAGGAACCCAACAGTTTAATCTGTCTGCGAGGTACCTCTGCCATCAAGCCCTGAACTAATCACTCTTTCTGTCCTGGATTTAGGCACGAAGGGCAACACTAGATCCAACTGAAATGGGTAACATCTGTATTCCATCCCTACAGTTTAAGGAACAGGAACAACAGTGATATTGAAGGTATTCTGGGTTAATGTTGACTTCCAGTGACTATCACGTCAACATAAACAGCTGAGAAGCACAAACTATTAACTCACCCATTTCTGAGATGACACTAACTGCCATATTGGTGACATCCGATGTACAGCGTGCTTTTGTTTCTTCAGTGGGTGGGTCCTGATATCGGCTGAGTCCAGTCTCTTTGTTGATATAAACTGTCTTTCCCACAGATGTGTCATAGTGATGAAGCCAGTCACCGGACATTGTACTGCAACCTGGAGATGGCTCAGGATTCAGTGCAGTGTCGCAGTGATTCTCGTTGTTATTGCTGTCTTGGATGCCAACATTACCTCCACTGAGACAGGCTGTCGCCTGTGAGGTAGTCCTGGCCAGGTGTGGTAATATTTTTGAATTGTCCGTCCTGTGTTGTTTCAAATGGCAGAGTTTAGCTGCCAAAGACGTTTTGCCTCCATTCTGTGCCGAGACTGGTTTTAACTGGGTGAAAACTGAGAGGTTTGGTGGGCTTCGGAGACCACTATGTGTCTCTTCTTTTTCTGTTTCTGTAACATCGCCATCTTGCTGATCTTTCTGGCAAACCATCAAGTTATTGGATAAGCTGTCTGTCTGAGGGAGTTTACTATTCATCTCTTGACTAGTCTCATGAGAGGGCAATTTCAGTTCATCGTGACTACCGTATATTCTTCTAAACTTCTCAAGAGATCCAGCCTCCTTACCCGAAGACAACTTTTGACAAGTTACAATTCTGGGAATCTTTGAGGGAATAATAGGAGCATAGTCTTTACATATTTTCTGACAAGGTCTATCAGGACCTGCATCTAGTGATATTTTGCGTTTAGATGGAAAGGATCTCTCTTCACATTTCTGTGCAAACATTTGCTGGTAAAATACTGACCTGTTAATTTGGGACGAGTCCTGAGTTTGCAGACTGTCATGAATGTATGGATCAGACAGGCTAATCTTTCTGTTACTTAATAAAATCTGTCCGTGCCCTTCTGTAGCCTGGCAGGGTATTTGCTTAGTACTCTTTGAATCAAGCTGAATGTGTTCAGTGCTGCTGTTTAGTGCAGTCACATTACTGGTTAAGGTAGTACTGTCTAATCTTTCCTCCCTTTCTTTTGGAAGTTCCAGTTTTTCACTTTTAAGTTGTCTAACTGACCTTGACATACATACAATTTGAGAGCCTCCCCCAGCTTCACTGAATATTGGCTGCTCTTCTTCAGTAATGTTATTATCAGATGCAGCTTCCAGTCTAGCCAGATCGCACAGTGGCTCCGCTTCACACTCTTTGTTTATGCTTTCTTCACTTTTTATCTTTTCCAACTCATTTGCAGTTATCTCTTTCTGCCCCATTTGTTCAGTCTCATCTTTGCACTCCATCGGACCAGACTCCTGGCAAACGCTGTCCTCACATCCACAGTCATCTCTGCGCTTGCGGTGAACAGGATCAGATGCCAGTTTTGTCCCAATACTGCAATCTTTTGTGGAAACACTGCTAGTTGCTTGGCCAGCGTTGGCACTGCTGTGTGCCTCATGGTCTGTATCGTGAGTGGCAAACAATTTGGGAGACACACAGTCCAAGTCATCTTGAGAAAGTACAGCCACCAAGTTCT